AATAAAAAAAGTCCGCTTTCGGTTGACGCGTATCGCTCAAAAGCACTGTTGCATAAGCTCCCCAATGTCTCAGACTTAACCCATAATCAGTAGAATGCTGTTGGTTTTGTAATACAGTGTATACAGTGTATGTTGTGGTTCAATTTTATTCTTGGTTCAAATTTTATTTTCCTTTGTTTTAAACAGTCTCATTATCATACATTAGCATACCCCAAAACAAAGGGAAATAAAATTTGAACCAAGGATAAAATTGAACCACAGCATATACAATAGACATTGATAATATTTCTGTACACAAAATTGTTCACCTTGAATGCAAGTAGGGCTTCACAAGATGCTCTAATATATCTGTATAAGTTCTTAATCCTGCAGGGCCTATTTGCTCCCAGTAACTTGGTCTTAAATCATAAGGAAGCTTTCCCTGGCCAATTGATGCTGTCAAGGAGGATGGTACATAACTGTGCACAGAACCTCTCTGTCAAAAAAAATTAATAAGGTGGAAAATAAAAACATGAATACAAACTTCTCGCAGTGGTAATTGAAAGTAATACACAAAGCAGAGTATCCTAATTCAAAACAATTCTTTCCTTGGCACCTGCAATGGTCTTTCTTGTTTGTAAAAGTTGATTTAATGATGATATGCATTTACTTACTTGATACAAAGATGTGTGCTCAACGTCAACAAAACAGGAATTGGCTTCACTGCTCCCACAGACAAGGCGTGTCACTTTAAAGTAAACAACAAGATCCCTCTGCCACTGATCATCACCTGTACTAGCCATCTTCTGAGCATCAGTGTTTCTTTGCCAATTTTAGCTTGATTTTAAAGCACAAAATATTTTGAATAAAGAATAAAAAAAATATCTACCTGATCTCCTTAGCCCAGCAGCAAACAGTTCAGGATGCTGCAGAGGTAGCTGGACTGTGTCCAAAATTGCAGCCTTCACTTCAGCTAAGCCTCCAACATCCTCCCATTTAACACTTGGAATCTTGGGAGCTCCAATGGCATCTGACATTGAAGACTGGAGAACTTCCAGCGAATCCTCAAAATCCTGATTGCAAAGTTTGATGCCCATTGAACTAAGCTCTTGCTCCTGTTGCCATGGAAACCAAGTCTGGCCACAGTTTTCTGCTGTACTGTACCCATTCAACAAGCGCTGCGTAGCAGCTCTTGAGGCATAACTAAAGAGTGCAACGAAATCTGCCAGCACTAATCCTGCTGTTCTTTTGGCCAGCTGCTCAAATGACACATCATTCCCAACACAAGCCATGCCCCCCAATCCACACAGCATGTCATATCGTTCACTCTCAGTGGGTGCCTCAAGTTTCACTTCATGAAGGAAACAAGAATACATGTCAGAAGTGATGTCATTTGGCAAAGATGAAGTTGCTATGACAACTACTGGCCAATCAGTGTTGTCCTTAAGGTTGTTGACGCAGTTCATCAAAGTGGCAGCTATCCTTGGTTCATCCTCATTTCCCTCTCTGTCTTTTCCAAGAGCATGGATGTTTTGTAACAGCATGATACAGGGAGAACTTAGAATGGCTACAGAAGGAGGAAAAAAAGATCAGCCTCAATTTATACAAAGTTTATTATCACTAAAAATTATTAATTATTGAATGTGTTAATAATAATAATAATAATAATAATAATATACAGGGTTTATAGAGCGCTAATTCCCAATGGTCCAAAAGCGCTTTACATAAAAAAAAAAATAAAATAAAATAAATAACAACAAAATCCTAAACCTACAAAACTACATTGTCATTCTATAAAAATTCCCAATGGTTATACCTGTTCTTTCCCATAAAAGCATGTTCATTTTCTTTTTGTTTTTTCTTTTCTAGAGACTGCAAACAAGACTGTACATGTACACTGTAGTATAACACGGCTTCTGCATGGCCTGCTCAAGTGACCCTGGCATTACGACTGCACTAATTATGGAGACTTTAATAAGAAGAAAACAAAACAAGGGAAAAAAAGGCAGCATAGAGACCTTTCTGGAAGAGGTTCTTCAACCTTGCCTCTGTGGCAGCTACTGACTCTCCAATCAGTTCATAGCAACTGACTCCCAAGAAATGCATGTTTAACTTTCTGCTTGTTGCTCTAGCAACTGTCCTTTTACCCGCTCCAGGGGGACCAGACAGAAGAATCCCAAATGGAAAAAGAGGTTTTTTGTCACTGAAAAATATAACAAAACAAGAAACGTTTTGTTAATTCATCATGTTTGATTAACAGATAACATTACTTGATCTAAGGACATGCATAGCATTGTCATAAAACAAAGAGGTAATGACTACAGCTGTAGTTTTTCTTTACCACAGATGAATGGAAAAATAGTGAAGCTCATACAAATCACTTAGCTCTTTGATTCATACTAGTAATTTGAACATTATGGTACATTTACGAAATAATAAGGAGCTTAAGCAGTGATGTTCTTGAGTGAAGAACTTTAACCGGAAGTAAGGCCTTTTGTCGTTTAATATGCCTTGATGTTACCATATTAATTTTGTTTTGCCATGTTTCTTTACTCTAATACAGACAATTTGCCCCAAAATTTTGACAAAAACATTGCCCAAGAATAAAAAAAAGTCCACTTCCGGTTGACGCGCACCGCTCAAAAGCACCGTTGCATAAGCTCCCCAATGTCTCAGACTTAATCCATAATGAGTGTAATGCTGTTGGTTTTGTAATACAGTGTATATGATGTGGTTCAATTTTATCCTTGGTTCAAATTTTATTTTCCTTTGTTTTAAACAGTCTCATTATCATACATTACCATACCCCAAAACAAAGGGAAGTAAAATTTGAACCAAGGATAAAATTGAACCACAACATATACAATAGACATTGATAATATTTTTGTACACAAAATTGTTTACCTTGAATGCAAGTAGGGCTTCACAAGATGCTCTAATATATCTGTATAAGTTCTTAATCCTGCAGGGCCTATTTGCTCCCAGTAACTTGGTCTTAAATCATAAGAAAGCTTTCCCTGGCCAATTGATGATGTCAAGGAGGATGGTACATAACTGTGCACAGAACCTCTCTGTCAAAAAAATAAGGTGGAAAATAAAAACATGAATACAAACTTCTCGCAGTGGTAATTGAAAGTAATACACAAAGCAGAGTATCCTAATTCAAAACAATTCTTTCCTTGGCACCTGCAATGATCTTTCTTGTTTGTAAAGGTTGAATTATTGATGATATGCATTTACTTACTTGATACAAAGACGTGTGCTCAACATCAACAAAACAGGAATTGGCTTCACTGCTCCCACAGACAAGGCGTGTCACTTTAAAGTAAACAACAAGATCCCTCTGCCACTGATCATCACCTGTACTAGCCATCTTCTGAGCATCAGTGTTTCTTTGCCAATCATGATAAACAAAGAACACATCTCCAACTGTTAGGATCCTTGACACTTTGAAATATGACATCAGTGCACCATCAAACGACTCTCCAACTTTGTAATAAGGTGAGTGTATCAGTGCAATGTGAGCTTCTGTAGCAAATGGTGGTTTTCCACTTGTGCTTTCAGTATTTGATTCTCCATTGGGAAGAGCTGTTGCATTGAAGTTTGGAGAAATGTAAATAGGAGGATGATCATTCACATTTGGTGTAATTTTACCAAACAAATTAAAGTACAGTAATGGTGCAATATACAAAACTCCATCTTTAACTTCATCACTGTTTATCAATGAGGAAATGTTTGTGGTGGACTTATCATCAACAGCCACAAGTTGAACAAGATGATACTTGATCTTTGTGAAACATCTTTCATCCCAATATCTTTGCTGGCTAATAGTTGTTGATTCAGAATCTTGTTCCTCCTGCTTATCATGCAAATGTACATGTAAATCTGTTGAATCCCTGTAAATTTTGACCCAACTGCCATTGAACCAGCACAAGTCAATCAAAGTTTCCACTGACACATAGACCCTACTGGATACAACTTGAGACAAATCTAAATAATTTATTTTATCACTATTAAAGATTCTCACTCTGAACTGATGTGTTTTTTCCTGAGTTGTTTTCTCATTACGCTGATCATGATCACACAGTTGACCTTGGGTTATAAGGTTGCGAGTGAAGTCAGAGACAAAGAAGGTTTTAAGAGAATCAGACAACAACACCAAAGACTCTGTTTCGCTGATTTTAGAGGCAGGTTGAATTTCAGTCTTTTCCAGCTTTGTGATGACGAGACATGTTTCTGATGTGATGCAGCCCTGTGACACTGGGTCATTCTGTAGTATTAATACTTCAGAATTTTCTTCCTTGTCGCCAGTTACTTGCTCGTTATGAAGATAGAGGATATCCTTTTCCCTTACTGTTATAGGACCTGATGACAAACTTTTAAGTAGAAACGATGCTAAGGACGACTGCGCCCTCAAATATGTCTCCTCTGAAGAAACCGCGACTACAACCCTTTGCAACGGAATTGGATTCACTTTTTTTACCCAGACAGTTTTACCAACATATAAATCACGACTTTTAAGCACGTTCTCCGAAAGGAAGACCTTTAGATTTCCTCCAGATTGTTGAACTTCTTTATCTGATGACCGGACGTTCAATATTAGATCTCCCTGTGGGTCGAAACCTTCCAAAGACGTTTTTACCGCTACCGCAAATCTTTCCCCTGGAGAGTTAACAAAAGTGGAGTCGCTATCACTTGTAGAGATTATGCCTTCAGTGAACAGGAGATTAGAGGATCGTAAAGTGTTGCAATCCTTGCGTGAAAGCTTGCAAATTGTGCCTCTTCGATAGGCTTCGTCGGCCATGTTTCCCTCCTATGTGGCCTGGCCTTGCCATACAGCCTGGCCTTTTGACCGGCTGACTAAAAAGCCAGGTTACGTTGCTGGTATGTCTTTCTTTGGGAAAACCCTCGTACGGTCGTAGATGTACATGTGTACGGTATTTTAAATTGGACATCAAACGTTAATTTTAATATGAACATGTTTTTGTTTTCACGATGCTTTGGTATTTTACAAATATTACAAAGATAATGATGTAGAGTCTTCAAGCATTCGCATACAACTTTCAGCTTACGTAACTCTCGTAGACACTACAATCTACAGCGAGTAACAATATGTCCGGAAAGGAGTCACATGAAAGCTTAGAAGGACAAGAAATTACCGAGCCTCTTCTACAAGAAAACCCCAATAGATTCGTTCTTTTTCCGTTAAAGTTTCCCGACATATGGGAATTTTACAAGAAATCAGTTGCCTCCTTCTGGACCGTGGAAGAAGTCGATTTGGAGAATGACTTGTTGGACTGGGAAAAACTTAACTCTCGTGAAAAGCAGTTTATTTCTCATGTTTTGGCTTTCTTTGCTGCCAGTGACGGAATAGTTGGCGAAAACTTAGTAGAAAGATTTTATCAAGAAGTGCAAATCCCTGAAGCGAGATGTTTTTATGGTTTTCAAATTGCAATGGAGAACATTCACTCCGAGATGTATTGTCTTTTGATTGACACTTTCATACGAGAACCCGACGAAAAACAGAAGCTTTTTAATGCCATTGAAACTTTTCCCTGTGTCAAGCAAAAAGCGCAGTGGGCTTTTAAATGGATGGATAAAAATGGAAATGCCTCTTTTGGAGAAAGACTTGTTGCTTTCGCGGCCGTGGAGGGGATTTTCTTCTCAGGAGCATTTGCGTCAATTTTTTGGCTTAAGAAAAGGGGTTTGTTGCCAGGGCTTACATTTTCTAATGAGCTCATCTCAAGAGATGAAGGCCTTCATTGCGACTTTGCTTGCCTACTGTTTTCACATTTGAGACAAAAGCCAAGCAGAGACCGTGTGAATGAGATTATATGCGAAGCCGTTGCTATAGAGAAAGATTTCTGGACAGGTGCTCTACCTTGCCATTTGCTTGGCATCAACTGCAATCTAATGGGCAAATACATTGAGTTTGTGGCTGACCACCTTCTAGTCGAGTTAGGATTTGAAAAGAGTTACAATGCCGACAATCCCTTTCCTTTTATGGAAAATATATCTTTAGAAGGCAAGGCTAATTTCTTTGAGAGAAGGGTTGCAGAGTATCAAAGAAATGGTGTGATGAATGAGAAATGGGAGAACTTTGTGTTTACTACAGATGCTGAATTCTAATTTGTAACTAGTCTTGTTGCTATTTGGTCATTTGTTAGCCTGCGAGCAAGCTCTCCTATTTGGGCAAGTGAAGCGAGTCTCGAGAAAACGCACGAGCGAGCGGCCAAGCGGCGAGGGGCAGAGGAAAGGAGCCTTGGCCCCCCGCTCATGCATTCTTGCAAGGCTCACATCGCTTGCCCAAATAGGAGAGGTTGCTCGTAGGCTAGTCATTTGTCATCTCATGCTGACTGTTGTCAAATCATACATCTATAGGTGTTAACAAGAAACAGAACAAAACAACAAAATAAAGTTTTGTTTAGTAATTTTTTTCAAACAGTAAAGGTAAAAAAGGTGAAAATGTCTTAAACTGTTTTGATGGTTTCTTTTGGCAAAGTGTCAGAGTCATTTAATCATTTTTCAAAAAATTGAGATTTATTTAGTGCACTTAAGTGACTAGGAGGTGCTTTTGTGGCAATCCCAAAAATGAGGACTCTCAATAGAAAAATTCTGTGAAGGTTCACTATACATAAAAGCCATATTCCAAGTGATGGTCTCTGCTAAATCATTGATCAAGTAAACTCAAGTGTTACTCACCCACCCTTCCCCTGCTTCCCTTTCTTGCCCTCCCCTCCTACGCACAAGTCTACAGCTCGTTCCCAGACTACTCAGAGGAGGATTTTCAAAATGGCGGCGGGAGAGGTTTTTCCTATCTCCTGCGTTAGAATGTTACAGTCACCTAGCCCGTCTTTACAAAACAGCATCAAATTTTCATACAGTGGAAGATACTTCAGTGCACTGTGCGATTTCGGAGCTGTCCAAGTTTGTCAACTGAAAGGTAAAATTGGGAGGATTGGTCGAGGCAATTGAGTTTCAGGTGGCCGATAAACAGAAAAATCGTAGAAAGAAGTGTTTGTTATGTTAGCAGTTTCTTGACACAGTCCTTTCGCTAAACTGCAGTTTAGTTGAATATTATATAAATTAGCTATTTGTTTTCTATGTTTGTGGGGTAGTGAAGCACAGGCCTTTAGATTGCAGTCCGGCCATCATTGTCGCGTTTGCAACCACACGTGATAAGGCGACCATTTTGGCTGACAAAACAGTACAAACTTTTCGCAGAATTTTAAAATTTCCATCGGAGAAATGTTTTTCTTGTTAATAAATATGACCACCATGATATCAGCTGTAAACCACCAACTGAGATTTTTGATCTGGGATTTGCTTTGCCGGGGCCGCCCCTTATTTTAAGATCAACGTAAGACTTGGCTTGAAGGTCCGAAAAAATACATTTTTTGCAACCGGCCCCCCTTTCATCTCAGGGTCTGGATGACTGCCCCCTCCCCTTATCTAAAGGTCCAGATCCGCCACTGAAATGTACCATATTTTATCCAATAAAAGCCATCGCTTGATTAATGGCCTTCCTCGAATAATCCCTCCCCCTTTGACAAAAAATAGTAACATTGCTTCCCTCAAGGAAGTTGCATTTGAGGTGATGCAATTTCTATATATTCTTTTTAGTCCTTCCAGATGATTTTTATACACTTCATAGCTGTCCCTTCTCCCAAAATGTTAAACTTACAAGTAACAGTCTTGTGACTTTGTTGTGAGCTTCAGGAGCAATGGTGGTGCAGTGGTCAGATAAACTGTTCACAGTCCCCTGTTTTCCGTAGGGATCGTCGAGATTGCGCGCTTTGCGTTATGGGCTGCAATCAGGGTTGTCTCTAAGATTTCAAGTTGCCGGGTAAACACAACAAGTAGGCGGGGAATCAAACAGCTAGGGATTTCTTTTGGTTCTATTTTTCTTCTATTTTCCAATAAAAGTAGCAGGGAGCCACTCTCTTAGTAGCCGGGGAAAATCCCCGGCCTCCGGCTCTTAATGATAACCCTGTGCCATCTTGTATGAGTGTCAAAACTACTTAGGGGGCAGGGGAGATCACTCACCACCCACCAATGTGGCTTGGGTTCGAATCCTGGCATCGATGCCATGTGGGTTGAGTTTGTTGCTGGTTCTCTCTCTCTCTTTCTCCGAGAGGTTTTTGTCTGGGTTCTCCAGTTTTCACCTCTCTTTAAAAACCAACACTTTCAAAAATCCAATTTGATCTGGAATGCACAGACACGTTTCAACAAGTTGAGAACAACTAAGAACTCCTAAGTGCACTGTGGGTAAACAAATAATTTTACATTTTTTTTACAATTTGATGACCTATCTCACACTCTCATGAGTTGACAATATTGATTTCTCACTCTTTCTCGAAAAGTCACACTCCAATAAACTTTTGGAGCAGCTATAGGGTATATGCGTCCAAGTAAGATACATGGATATAGTAAACTCAATCCAAAGAAAACACCTAATGACCTCATTTGATTACCTGGTAGTAAAGGCATGAATTGCCTAATTGGTGCATTGTTTACATTCTTCATCCTCTCGTGACTTGCCACTGCCACCAAATGCACAGATGTCTTTGTAGTTTTGTCATGCAAATTAGTCTGGGATAGAGCATAGAAATCAGAGGATTTTGTTATCCAGTGGGGTTATCAGAAATTTACATTGGGCTGGCTGGCCAGCTTAGCATTGCTACCATGTAGTGGTGGGTGGGAAATTACGTTTGTTTTGTTTAAAACGTTGACATAAAATGAAGAAAAATTTCTGCTTTTACATCCTAGACATTGACAACAATTTCACGGTTACTCCAGTAAAAAGGCTCACATTTGACAAAGGTGAACACCTTGAAAGCCATACCTGGTCCAGCGATGATGAAATTTTTGCTGTGGCTGGACACAAGATCTATCTGTTTGAAGTAAGTCCACTGGAACAGTTAAATATTTTTGATATTAGCTCCTGAGATGGGTGACTGTAAAGGTCATTTTATTTATACACCGGGTGTGAAAGTTTCCATTAATATATTTTTTTATTAATGGAAAGGGGTCAGGGGTCCTCCTCTAAAATTACCATTAGCCTGTGAACAGGCAAAAAGAGTATGGGCAAAAAAAGGGCAAGTGATCTACGTTTCTCCCTTCCTCCCTTCCTGTCTGCTCATGCTTTCTTCCTTTCTCTTCACCCTAATCCTCGCTAAAGAACCTGATTAATACTAAGGTTAAGTGACAATGACAAAGTTTCTTGCTGGTGGGAAATAAGGTAGACCTACAGCTGTAGTGTATACTTTATGGTTAATGAGCTAGATTACCCTAAAATGCCTCTGCACTTTCTACTTTTATTTGACAGGGCTTCTGATATTTCGCGCGGTCGCGGACCCGCGAAATTCAGGTATTTCCGCGAAATCCCGCGAAATTCCCCAAAAAACGCGAAATACCGCGAAATCCGCCAGAAATATTTCCAAATACATGTCGGCAAAACGTATTTAATACTTATCTTGGCTATTAGACCGGTTTTATTCACCCCAAACGTCCAAATTTAGCTTGAAACTTCGTCACTTCAACGAGTAAACAACGTCCCAAAACTACCAGGCGTTTTTAGATGAACGTTGCGAAAAACTGGGCACTAACCATAATGTTAAAAGCTTTAACATTCGCTCATTTCTCGAGCTAACTGTTGTTGAAAGAGCAAATGATTATCCCTGTTAAAAAAAAACGTTCACTAACGCTGGTGATATCGACGCAAAATTGATCGATTTTAGCGAAATTTGCCAAAAAAAACCCCAGCGAAATCGGCTGTTTTTTACTGATTGTTTCTTGGCGAAGTTTGCCCCCGAAATTTCCCGTGAAATCGGCCGATTTTCCTAAGAATTTGCCCCTGAAAATCCTTCGAAAATTGACTTTTTCCCGCTAAAATCCCGTGAAATCGGCCGATTTTTCCGCGAATTTGCCCCTGAAAATCCCGCGAAATTTTGCTTTTTTTTCCGCGAAATATCAGAAGCCCTGATTTGAGAGATTCATCTTTTTATAACCATGTATATAAACTCCGTTCTCCTGTACATGTAAGCATTAAGTTCCTAGTTTTGAATCTTCCAAAAACAAACATAACTCATCTAAGCTACCTTGACAAGCTTATCATTCGAAAGCTGGTAAAGCATTTGCCCTTGTTGCAAGAATGTAGATTCTTTGGCTGCCAAATTTGCATTATTTTAATGTTCCCGCTTGATACTTAAATGAAGTTGCACTTAACCCTTTAAACCCTAACATCAAAATTCAAATTCTCATTTGTTATCCCTCTACATTTTTAATAGAAGTAGTAAGGAGAATTTGTTGAAGTATCAATTAGATTCATCTTGTGTGATCATGTCCTTAATTCTCATGACCACTCTGTTTTATAAAGCAGTGATATTACATGGAGAAATTTGACGCTGATCACTCTTAGGGCTTAGAGGGTTAAGGTAGTTCTTCTGCTTTCTGAAGTTAAAATGGTGATGTGCTGTAGAATAATTCTAGTACTTTTGTGTGTGTACTGTGTGTGTGTGTTTTTTTTACGCTCCACTGAATCAACATATTTCAAGAAAACATTTACAAATCTAAAAATTATGTAACTATTTTGTGCAGAAACTTTTATTTGTGGATTGTGAAAAAAATGCAAAGTCAGAGAAAAGCATAATGCAACACAGTTTTTACTAATTTGACTATTATATACTGCAAAGTGAATAGTGCTTTTTGCATATGCTGTTTGGCTAGCGTGAAAGTGACCAATTACTTTTCACCTCTAAGGAGATGAAAGAAATAAAAAAATAAAAATAAAAAATAAAAAACCTTTAAAGACCTGAACTCTGGACACTAAGACTGGTGTAGTCTATGCAAAGGACATGACACACAACAAAAAGGCAGCAATTGACAGGATAAGCTTATAAAATCTGCCAGAGCTGTGGGCACTAGGAACTCCACTAACACAAGGCTTAGAAGCAGGTTCAGTATATGTCATATCCAGGAACCTCTTAAAGCTTCCTGGGAAATCAGTGAAATAGCCATCAATCTGGGTATTCAAGAAGGTTTGATATTCATTGTAAGGATCCTGACTGTAATTCCAGGCCAAATACTTGTTTTCATTTCTGAATGTGAATGCGTGGACCTTCAAGTTGTTGTTGTGTGCATTAGTGACAAAATCCGTGGTACTTTGTAGATTGTTTTGATCGACTGGAATAATATTATTCTTCCATACACCAATACCAGAACAAATACTTGAAAGATTTTTCATTTTATCCTGCTCATTTGGTGGTCTGTAATCATATAACATCACCAAAGGTAACCTTGTTTTTGTTGACAAAGACCTGATGCTTTCTTCACTGAATGACTGGACAAAACACAGGGCATCTTTCTCACGATATCCATTATTATGCAGTACCTCAACAAAGAGATCTTCAAAGGTGGTGTTAGCGTCACGGATAATATCCAAAGAATTGACCCACTCTGGACTCTTGAGCTCAGGGTAAATTCCAACCTTTCTGTCTGCAGATTTGGCAACTCGAATGTATTCTTCAAGTGTAGGTATCTGGTACATGTCATCAAAACTATGATCTCTGAAAGGGTACTTTTGTCTAACACGGATTGTCTTAAGCTCTTCCAGGGTGAGATCAACTGTAAATATATCTGTGACAGTCTTGTTTGGCATGTCACCAGATGCTGGTATATTATAAGTCTTCACTCTTGATCGGAGGGTTTGATTTTGCCATATATTCGTTGTTTCATTCAACCAGCTCTCGTGGCGACAAACAAGTTTTAGGTCCTTGGTGATGGAGACGTCACATTCAATGAAGTCAGCCCCTTCCTTGATAGCTAGCCTTTAGGAAAAAAAAGGAAAAGCAAAAAAACCTTTAGAGAGATGTTCCCACATACATTTGCTTAATTTAATGCACCTTTCCATGGGTTTTGAACAGGTTGTTATTTTCAATGAAATGGAAGAGTAGGTCACTCACTGAGGTGCAACAGGAGGTTGACCATTATTGCGAATAATAGCCTATTGTTCAATTCAGTGGCCACAATAATTTTGACCTTCTGGTTGTAAAACAATGGAATAGTTCATTTAATCATATAATGCCCTACTCCTCGGCCTCAGGCCTGGGGCATTTAACAGGGTTCACAGTCTTAAAAAGTCCTTGAATTCCATTTTTCCCTGAAAAGTCCCTAAATTTCTGTGCAAGTCCTTAAAAAGCCCTTGAATTTTTTTCAACTTTGAATGTAGTGGCCTGGAAAGAGTTTTTTGATGCTTTTTGGTTGTCCAAGACAAAATATAAATCATAGCTCAGAGAATTTAAAGGTTATTTACATAAAGTGCTCTATGCTTTATGCAATAATTAACTAGTGAACTGACAATGTAGAGAAGTTGGTAAAGCAAACAGTTTAAGCCTTAAAGTCTTATTAGAATAGACTGGGAATGTGTATTTTTGTACAAATCTGTGAAATTATATTCGTAGTAGGTGGTCCTTGAAAATCTAATGTGATCCTTGAAAAGTCCTTGAAAATTGTTTGCAATTTTTTGTATGAACCCTGTTTATGCAGATGTGATAAAGTGAAACCTCTTCTTTGGGACCCCTTATTCCAGGAGACACCTCCTGTCCGTAGTTTTCTGAAATTGAAATGTTTGTTTTTGTTTTTTGTTTTGCCTTACGGATGTGTTTCTTAGGGCTATCACATAGAATTAGCTGTTTCTTATATCATAATTATGTGGTTTAAAGATAAATCGTTTTTACTCTTCTAAACTTTAAAAAATAGATCAATATGTCATTATAGGAAAATGAACGCTGTATCAAATCAATCAACACTGTCAGTTCTAATCTGGAACAAAAACAAAGAACGAATGTTCATGATGTGTATAGGTTAACATGGTCGAGCGATATATTCGGAGGTAATCAACTGGCATGATCCTTTTGGAAATACAGTAGATCACTTTCGAAGGAGTTGGGTTGTTACTCATTCTCAAAAGTTCCACAAACAAGTTTTATATTTGTATAAAGAACAATAGTTTTAAAATATTCCAGTATACTTCACATGTATTGTTAGTTACTGTTGTTCACTTACATGTAAACAGAACATTTGGAGTCTTAATTTTATTGCCTTACAACTTTTCAATGACCTTAGAATGTTATACTTTAAATGCATCGAGCATTTTCCAAATTATTCGCATCATTGATGCCACAACAATATTGAGAAAAATGCCAATATCAGCCGTTACATAATACATGTATAATCAAGCGCATGCTAATCAAATCTTTCGCTTTAAATAGCAACGGCTAAAGTTAACCTGGCGATCTTTTAGCACGCGTTTTCTCATTAGAATGAAGCTACAACAGGGTGAATTTGCAATTCCTAAGCGCTTTGCTTTCTATAGATATCGCCAGTCGTCAAGGTTGTTCGGTTGTTACTGTACTTCCAGCCGACGAGTTTGTTGTTAGTCTCACCTGTAGGCTTCTAGGGTGTGTTCTGGGAGCCGACCGGAACTCCCTCGATGACCAATGTTTACAGGTCTAGTGGCTGGTTTTTCAGCAGCAACATAAGAAGTCAGGCAGAGCAGCGTTAAAGGTATAAGTAGCCACAGCTTCTTCATGACTTTCCTCGTCTTGTAGAGTGGTGAAGGGTTCAAACGTTTTGTTCGAGTCAAAACAGAACACTTTAAATTGATTCCGACAAGTCAATTGTGGACTAGCCAATCACAACAAAGTTGAACTTCCACACAAACACCGGAAATTCCTAATGCGTTCAGTAAAAAAATAACAAAGAAATAAGTAATGTAACAGTTTCAAAGTGCACGTTGTTAATCCCCAAATTTTGCAAAGCGATTTTTCTCAACTTCTCCTGGGCATTACAGTCGTCCCAAGAGAAAGCAAAAACAAAGTTTCCAAGATTTTTTGGGGGAGGGGCGGGGGGTATTGTAGGTCCTGCTGTAATTAAACAAAAGAAGCTAGGCGATTGAACGCTTTGATTGGTTATAATTTATACAAATTGAAAATGTTCGTAACTCGATCCTACTAATTGAAGTACAGTCCATTTAGGTCCATTTAGGTCCGTCCACGCTAATGCGTTTTCGTTTACATTTCGTTGACGTTTTGCGTTTTCGCATACATTTCGATGCGGTTAGGCTTCCCGTCCTCACTAAATCGCTGAGCGTTTTTATCGAAAACGCAACGATTTGAAAACGCTCGTGAAAGTCGGGATCAAAACGGAAAGGCGTACATATCGTTTTTGTGTGGACGGTCGAAAACGGTCGAAAACGCGTCAAAATAGAAACTATGATCGAAAATATCGCAGGCGCGTGTGTTTGTAGCATGCGCATAGAGTTCAACTTACGTCACAACTTGCAGCTCTATCATTTTTGAACGTTTTAGTGTGGACGGTCGAAGGTAGCGTGGACGCGAATCGGTCGGTGCGTTTTCGATGACAACGAAAACGCATACCAATGAAAGCGCATTAGTGTGGACAGAGCCTTGGCCTATTGTACACGCAACAACAACAACAACAACAACAACAGGCTTTTGAGGCTTTATTTGCATGACTATTGCAAATACAGTATTGCAAAAGCGATTTCATAACTTATTGATAACTTAAAATCAAAATTAAAATGAAGTAAATCCTTGCTTATTTTAAACTATTCAGTCATACTTTAGGGATTGTTATTCCGTAGCTGAGTTTTTTATCTCTCAGTTCGAAGAATGATGAAACAATTAAAAAAAAAAGAGTATTCATAAAATGATCAGTTAAGTTCATTAGATGCGATAATAAAGTTTCTTTTGGTAACAGTCGTGGAAATGGTACATGTACCAGGTTCTATTTTTTTAAGTGAGGAACATATCTCTTATAGAAGATAAGCTTGCGCATTTAAGTAAAATTTGAGTTTCATCTTCAACGGTTTTACAGCTACAGAGTCATAGGCATAGCTTGTTTTTTCGTTGTTTCAGCATTTTACAAGCTTATGTAATCATTTACTATTACTACCCCCGTGGGGAAGTTACTGCCTATGATGACCTATAAGGTGAGGTTCCGCCCAAAAGCCATAGAGGGGTACCTTTGTCAGGCTTGATAAAGGGTAGGAATTTTACTTGTTAAAGTATATCATTGGGTGGGGAAATCTGTCATTTAGGTATTACAGGGTCTTAAATTACAATATGTCGAACAGACGCACCTTTTGGCAGTTTTATTTTAATTCGTTAAACGTTACATTACGAGGTCCTCTAAAGGAACAAATTGAGGATCTTTGTACTTGATGGGCGGAAGATATGACATAGATTCCCCACCATTATGCAGGCCGGGGCCGTACAGGACATCTGCTACCGCTTGTAACTGTAAGTTTCATTCTTTTTGTCTTTTTTAGGTTTTAAAGGACTTTTCCAGCCTTCGCGTCATTCCGTTGTACTACATGCCGAAAGATATTTCCTTAATAATGTATCAGAATTCCTCCTCCGTCAACAAGGTAACTCCCCTTTCTTAACAGCACGCTTTCCTAACGGCAAACCGGGCAATTTGTCAGGTATACACAAACAGCTTCTCTGGTTAATCATGCGGTAGAAGACTATTGTAAACATGTAATTGAGAGCCCTATTGCAGGGCTATTGATAAGTTAAAAAGATAAAGAAAGGGGGTAAAGGAAAAGGAGAACAAGCAAAAACATGCCATGTTATCTATTACACAGTAAGTTTATGTATTGTAATCCGGGTTTGACAGGTTTTTTTGGCCTATGGATGACCGGCGAAAGAAACAGCGGCTGGACTTGGTGGAACAAAATTTGACGTAATTTTATCAGAAGCAAAAATAAATCTCTTAATAGATCTTTTGGTCGATAATATTTGCTCATTACTGGCATTGCCTTGCCCGTTTTCACGATGGCGGCTACCCACAAAATCCGTGAAATAACCACGCTTGTTATATACCTACCGTAAGCGCGGACTAAGGGCCTGTTTACATGGAGGTGTGGGACCCCAGGTAGGTGGGGTAACCCGCTTGTCCATGAAATCTCTCATTTTAATTTGATCACGTTTATTTACATGTTAGGTGGAGTGACCCACCACATGTTACCTCACCTATCTGGGGTCCAATCCCCCCCCCCACTTCCACTTTCATGTAAACAGACCCTAAGATATAGGATATCTACTTTATAGTTGTACAGTCTAGCTGTGGCAGGGCCAAACGGAGTCGAGCTGTATCAAATGAAGACAGGAGACCCACTAAGCGTAGTATGTATGAATGTATGAAATATTTCTATTTCTCAGTAGTTTACCCATTCCTTTCTTTTTCTGTCGCATAAACTTAAACTTGCTTTCATTTCCAGGAAGAGTCTTCATCGCTGCATTCTGATCTGGCCATTGCATTGGTGCAGTTTTCCCCCGATGAACAGTACTTGGCCGTGGTATGTAGGTTTCATTTTACATCTAACCCCGACTCCCTTGACGCTTTTTCAGGAGCTTAAAAGAGCTCGAGCATAAGTACAGTAGAAGTACTTTCTCAGATCACATACGCACTTCCAGTATATGGAGTCAGCCAGGTAGCGGATTTTAAACACCATACAATGTTTTTTAAAAAGATGCAATAAGCGACGTTGCACTTCTGAGTTAATTAATATCTATGACCTTTTAGAGAAGTGTGACCCCAGGTTGTTCACCAAAATTATGAACAATGTTAACCATCCATTATATGCCCTTTTGCCGATAGTCAAAGAGTCATCCAAGAAATAAAGATCACAAACAAGTCAATTACCACGGATTAATACAGAACGTTTTAAGAACTGCTATTTTAATAGAATAAGGTTTCAATACAGCTTGGCAATTTAACAATATAGGTATCCAATGTTTTATCAGGTTTATATAATAATTGTGAATGATCTGTGCGATTTTCATGATTTGTATACTTTTACTCTCTGTAACGTTTGTTATGTATTTTAACGGGCGAGATAAAGACATTTATTATTATTATTGTTATTATTATTATTAGTTTATCTCCGAATAAGCAAGGATTTGAGTGGGTTATGACCCTTTGAGCCCTAATATTCACATGGAAATTCTCCCAACTGATCTCTATACATTTCCTTACCGAATTAGTTTGGAGAATTTGAAAAGCGAGAGCATTTTCCTGTGCTGATCATTTTATCAGTTCTCATAACCTCTTCTCTTGATTGCGTATTGAAAATGTTTGGAGAAAATAGATGTTTGTCACTCTTGGCACTTAAATGGTTAAGATCCCCTTTTCATTGCAGCTGCTTATTATTTGTTTATAAATTGCAGGCTGCACTGGATGGGCATTTTGGTATCTGGACTGTTTCAAGCTTGGACACCGATCAGAAAGGTCACTCTTCTTCCTCTGAAGGCTGGTTTTCACTAGCGACGGAGTCGGAGTCGTAAACGGAGTCGCAAGAGCGCTTATGACCTAGTGAAAATTCAAAATCGGAGTCGTAGGTGGAGTCATAAGTGCGACGGAATCGGAGTCAGAAGAATCAGAACGTTTCCATGTTCTTCCGACTCCGCTTATGACTCCGTCGCTTAGGTCCGCTTATGATCTGGTGAAAACGAGATTGTCGGAGTCTATAGCAGAAGCGGAAGGATAAACCAATCACAATGCACATTCCCACGCTTTGTGATTGGTTTAGTTCTTCCGCTTCTGCTTGCGACTCCGACGACCCAGTTTTCACTTGATCGTAAACGACCGATCGTAAGTGGAATCAGAACGCTGTTTTCACAAGATCGTAAAGTTGCTTCTGATTACGACTCCGACTCCGTCGCTAGTGAAAACCAGCCTTAAGCAGTGGTGATATAAATTTTATTGTTTTGTGTGAGAGAATCATGTTACCTTCTTTAAGTGACACCGGCCATTTTGTTTTTACGACCTAAACAGAGTTCTGGTATGTCCACCTTAAAACAGTTCGTATTACTAGTATGGAGTTTTCACCCGACAGTAGCATGGTTGCAGTTGCTGGCTGGGAAGGTTCGTGGCATTCATACAGAAAGGTACGGATGATGGAGCTGAGATCATGGTCTTTTCAACTTTTTAATTTATCAATGGCTATTCACAGATGGACGTGCATTTTAAACTAAGGGTAGTTTAAAGAAGTTATTTCCTACAGTAATTAATTTTAAAGCGGTCTTAGCGGGAAAAACTCCCGTGATTTTGTATTTCCCATCCCAAATAAACATAAGAAACATCAAATCAAGCTTTGCCCTTTTTCCGGTTTAGAGCGGTTTTCATTTGAGTGTCGAAAAGTAATTGGTTTTGCACTTTCTACACGATGCGATTGGCTTAAAAGATTCGCGCCACCTTTTCATCCAATCAGAAGTAAAACCAAAGCCAATTGTGACGCATTTGCGTCAGCCACATGTAATTACTTCGAGTTTTGATTGGTTCAATGTATTGTCTGTGTCCTATGTGATTGGCCAGAGTAATTACTTTGGTTTTGGTTTTACGACACTCAAACGAAAACCACTCTAAACCTAACAAGGAGAGAGTTTAGTTCAAAGTGCCGAGGACCCAGTTGGGTCATCAGCCAAACTTATTATCGAATGTCTTTTTTTTTTTGTCATTCCTATTTCAGAAATTTAAAAGCGAAAGACTGTTATGGGAAGAATTTCACCATAGCAAAACGTCTGACAGGGTTTCTGGGAATTTGCCAGGATCGTTGTTGAGTTGGTCCTCTGATAACAGGTTTATCAGGTAATGTTTGCTTCTTACATATTCACATGTTCTGAAAACAGAGTCGACGAATGTCTTGATAACACCATTAACAGTTTATTTTGACATAATCAATTTTGGAGAAAACAGAGTGTAAATAATGTTTTATGCAAATGAATGTTTCACTTTATTTTTAGATAAACCAGAAACACTAACTAATAAAAGGTTGGCATACTTTGGGCACCAGTGAAGCGACTTTTACCTGAAAAGTATTTTTTCTTTTTCTTTTTCAGAATAACACTATGTAAGGATAATAAATCTTGTTTGTCAACATTTGATACTCAAACGTCTGTTACCACCGTGACCCCACTAGATGGTATAGTGAAAGGAATGGCAAGTTTTAGGTATAATTTACTATCATTTTGTTGTTGACATTGAGCATCATCCAGGGCCAAGTTGTTCGAAGGTCGATTAGCGCTTAACCCGGGGTTAAATTTAACCCGGATTTCTTTTTCTTGTGTTCAAAAGTATTTTCTAGGTCAATTTTCTCTGTTATTTTAAGAGCTTCCAATCATCAACTTGTAGACGAAAAGAATTGAAACTGAAATGTTTTTTATGCTTTCAAATCTGAATTCAAATTAGTACTAACCCTGTGTTATCTTAACCCAGCTTTGAACAACTCGGCCCTTTATAAAATTGGTAGCACGACCATTGGCAAGAATATCTGGTCTCTATCTCTCTACAAAATTCGGTTGTAACATGACTGTCCCTCTTTTCTTTCGCACCACAGATGTGATACTGTGTTAGATAAGAAGACACTGCCGTTTTTCAAAGTTAATCAAGGTCAAAATTACCACATACCAGTGTCACGTGTCTGTATGTTTGATCAGGTGTTCGACGCTATTGCGATCATGGCTTTTAGACTTCCTTTGACGAGTTAAAAATTTTTATTGGATCGCGTGCTCAAGTATTAAAAGTATTAAAAGTTATTGTTTCTAGTAAAATTAATAGTTAGTATTTCACCGGAACTCCGCTTTTAGGCTTGGCTAAGTGGGAAACATATGATATCTCATCATTACAGGGGACGTTCATGTGATTACAGTCTGTGTTTCCTAAGATCGAAAAAGTGTTTTGCCGTACCATGGCCGATAGACGAAAATGGTAAGTTTTTATTACTATCGACTTCATTTAAGTAAAAGCTACCGTGGTGCTGGTTATTATTACTCTGTAAATCTCCACATGAGAGAAGAAGCTATGCAAATTTGGAACGAAAGAAAGCGTTTACATATTCCCACAGGATTTGTTTGGAAGACCAACATGGCCACTGTTGTTTTGCTTTGGGACACCAATATGGCAGGCTTGACTTCATGTGAAAAGGCTCTTTACTAACTAGTCCGTAAAGGTCACACAGTGATCCTAACTACACATTAATAGTCTTTTTTCAGTTTGTTACTTTGGGATGGTATTACCATGAAATAAGACATTTTTCTTAATGAGCGGACCATCTGTTTGTTTGTTTATATCTTCTACCAGGTCCAGTTCAAAAGATCGGTTCTGCTTCCAAACAACCTAGAAAGCTATTACAAGAAGAAGAGTCATTGGAGGGCTCCATAGCTGTAGAGCGCTCAGCTGATGGGGGAGTCACACTGAAGTGGAGGCGTACCTCTCGAAATATCCTTTCTTTACTGAGGGATATTAGCAAAAGACAGTTGAATAATACTGGTGCTGATCAATCATCCAATGCTCAGCTATGTCCACCAATACACTATAGTGGATTCGACAGTGAGATCAAACAAGATAAATTTGGGTTACGAAATTTAAGTCATAGTGGAGATGGCATCATGAAAACTCAGGATGGTGATGAGATTAACTCGCACGCAAAAACGGGCGACGACAGTTGCAAAACTATAGAACTTAACTCTGCTGAGGCTCTTGTGAGATTGGATTTCAGAGAAATCAAACATAGTCGTTTAAACGATACAGGGGATTCCTTGTGTGAAATGTCTTTGGACGTCCTTGTTGGTGACATTGCTTCAGATATCCCTCAAGAAGACATGTCTTTGTTGACAAAGGAAGTTGCTGATGAGGGTAAAAACGAGGAAGCATTTCCGTCGTCTGAAGGATCTCCTGCAAATAAATGTCACTTTAGAGCCAATGAGGAGTATGAATTTAGTTACTTACAAGCACCGTTCATCAACCCAAAGTTATTTCAAGCGTCTTGTTTAAACGTCCCCTCCTTTTTATCGGACAGTAGTACTCAATTATTAAATTCCACAAACTACATTGTAGTAGCTGTCTTGCCGCTGCTGGCGTACGTGTATCATCGGACAAGTGAAGAATGGAGAACACTGCTGTTTTCGCGGGCAGTCAAGTGCTGCTGTATTTCCAACGGTAAGTGTTGCGTTTAGCTCTTCATATCTTGAATGTTTAAAATGAGGTGGCGAGAGTAGATGTGTGCTCTTTTGCTCTGTATTCTGACGCCTTGTGATTGGCTGAAATAGTCTGCACCCGTTTCTCCACCAATCAGAAGTAAGTCTAACACCACTCGTCACTTGCCGGCAATTGTTTTGCCGCCCTTTTCATCGGTTACAGCAATTGCTTCCAAATACGAACGCTTCAGTGACCTTGATATTTTCTTCGTTCTGCTCAGATATATACATGGCGCTTCTCACAAAAGATGGTGGGATTAGAATTTGGTGTTTAGAGACCATGAAAATGCTGTGTTTTAAAGATGAAGTTCTCTGTGATAGTGAAAGTGAATTCCAGAGGTAAGTAAGAACAGCACTACTAGTTTCTGCTACGTTGGCCGTATTTACATTAGCGGACTTCGCAGACGTGTAGACGCTTTAAAAATTTGCTTAGCTGCGACGTTACATATTGATGACGTGTTTGGGTAGTACTTCTGATTGGCTGAATAAAATTTCCCACGCGGCGCGACCAATCAGAAGCACTAGCCAGATCTGGGTAGAGACACGTCATCAGTATGGAATTTCGGCGCTCGTTCCTCAGACGTCATCTCGCGGGGAAACCGCTGGTAGCGTCATGAAATGTCGCTGTTTTCTCAGGCTAAACCAGAACGTGAGTAAGTTTCCTCTCATTTAGTAGTCCGGGTAAAGGAAGATTGTGCGGATCGAGTAGATTTTTCTGATTATTTTCTAATCATAATTTACTGTTTACTTCCTGTTCCTTTAGATGTATCATATCCGGAAATCCGTTTGAACCGCAATTAAACATCATTAGACTGAACAAGACAGGCTGTGGAGAAAGAATACGAATTTGCTTTCAGCCAGGTACGTCACCAGGACGCGTATTCTCTAAAGATGGTGAACGTTGACACATGGTTAAGAGACAATTTTATCAAATCTTCCCTGAGAGCACGCATCTAGAGTTAATGAAACATTCTTGAGCCTTTTCTCAGAGACCCATTAAGACTAACCCAAAATAAAGTCCAAAACCCACAATTGTGAGTTAAATTTGTAACCTTTTGTTTGCGCCAACCGGCCGTCATACGCAGACGTTTTAGTCCCTCTCTCCTGTGACTCGTGCAGCCCAATCCCAGCAACAACTTTGCATTTCACCCACAGACTCACGAGGGAAAAGTCCCGGGTAGGCCGCTGCGGGTTACTCCACTTATAATGGAAATGTGATCAAATTAAAATGAGAGATTATATGGACAGGCGGGTTATCCCACCTACCTGGGGTTCCCCACCTCCATGTAAACAGGCCCTTAGTTTAGTTTCTGCACATGTTTAATTTCAGATCACGGAGGTGCTTGCGTGACGGTGAATCGCTTAAGGGTTTGTTATCCAGATCTTCTAAGCCACGCGTGTTCAACAAAGTTGTGTGGCTCTATCGGGCATATGATCATCTTCAAACAGAGCTCCTCCGGGGATCATCAACACAGAACAGCTGGCCAGGAGTGCGATGATTCCACTCCCTCGAAGTGGATAATAATTGTTCCAGGTACGAAAAGACGAGCTTGTTAGCCGTTGTTAATAAACGCGTTTGGGACAAGCATCTATTAGTGTTTACGATACGTTGGCTTATGTTGTCCTGTGCTATAACATGCTCTTAACAGCGTGATATACCTGTGTAGCTGATATTCGAGAGTACACCCTTAATAACTCTCGGTTTGCAGCCACGTGACAAGTCGGCCATGGAGGTGGCCAGTACAATAAACAATTTGTTTTAAAGAATTTACATAAAAACGGAATTTAGTTCCCAGAGGAGAGAAACACTTTTGTTCCTGATCATCAACATGGGCGCCATGACGTCACTTGCAAACCAGCCATAAATGACATTGCTTCTTAAAAATTAAGGACAAAGTAGCTTAAATTTGTTATTTTATTCTCTGGTAAACAATGCATGTTTCAATCTGTTATCTGTTATTTGATTTACTTTATTTACAGAACTTGGAATTAGCCAGAATTTCGTTGAAGACAGAGAATGTTCCTTAGAGGGATTTGTAATTCGTCACCATAACGATTTATGCAAACTAAGCAGCTTGGCAGCGATGAAACGATAAGTGGCTTTTAACTTGTGCAGAAGTTATGTTTCCAATATATAGCCCATTTCAAACAAACTGAGCGTCTATTTATTAGTGTTTTTATGTTTTCACATACTTGGCGCCCAGGTGGGTTTACCCATGGCAGGAGCATTATCTTCTGCCCACAATCGGTGCTTTCACAGTTAATGTTACTAGGGCCAAAACAAGGCTCACTGCAGCCTTTGAAAATACAATTATCAGCACCAAGTTCGTGAGATACATCTTACGACTTGGTAAAAGAACTTGTTTTTCAGCTGCCAATACAAGGAAGGCTCTGCTTCCTTTTTTTTCCTGCAACGCTTTTTTATTACTCTTTTCGTCTTGTAGTGCATGACATCCATTACGCCTCCCATACTACCCTCCCCAAAGTGGTGAATCACTCAGTTGTCATTATCTTTCTCTGTGGTTCACTGTTTTCACGTCCCCATCGGGGTGATTTTCACTTTCCCGGGCCACTTTATTTTGAGACCCCTCTTGAGTTGCTGATTCTTGCTGCACTTATATTTGGCTGCAGCCTCAGAGAGTCTGGTGGGAGTAAGCTTAACTGGGATATCAAAATTGAAGGCATAGCAAAACGTAGTCACTATAACGTTGCCAGATACAATGCGCAGTTATTCACCGAGCTTGAGGGCAAGCTGGTTAATTAACCGAACAAGTTTGGTCAAAGAGGGATTTGTTTTATGGCCAAAAGACTTTGCGAGAAGAGAGTGGACAATCTCAATCGGCCATTTTGGCCACCCTGGAATTAAGCCAATCCAAAGGCAAGATTGTCTGCCCTTGGAGTCAGCCACCTATTGTTGGTGTACCGTCAAAATTTCCATTGATGGTAAAATCATGGGAATGGAAAGTTCAGTTCATGGACTATGCCTCAGTTGTATCGAGTGCCCCAGGGAAAAGAAAAAGTAAAATAGTTATTTTCGCCAGTCAGACAGTTGTGTAACGGGGAAAAAAGACGAAAGCATCTTTTCTTTACTACCTTGCTCAGATGGTTGGCACTTCGCCGCAAGGTAGAAGAAAAGTTCATCTCTTACTGGAACCACAAACCGTTCAACACTCACAAAGCCTTAACTTTTATTTTACAATTATAAAGAATTATATTCCCCCTGCTCACCTTTTAGATCTTACAGGAAAGAACCCCTCAAGCATTTGTGAAACTAAAAAAATACAGTCACAAACTTAGGGTTGAAACAGGAAGATACAACTATATACCCCGTGATGAAAAGCTATGCAGTCTTTTCAACTGTAACAAAAATAAAGTTAAAACTAACTTTTTACTAAATTGCCAATGCTATTATCTATGGGAAGTGTGTTTTTTTACAAAAGTGAAACCTACATTCCCGTTTCTACGACCAAGGTCACGTGAAACTTTAAAATCACATCTGATGAATTCTCCTGACTATTTTATAAACATTCAATTAATTTCAATCATTTTATCGTGGTTCAAATTGACAAAAACAAACTTGTATTTGGAATAATTACTCCTAGTGCATTAATAATCGAAAATAAACAGTGATTAATTTTATTTTATATCACTGCTTCTTGCTCTCTCTCTCTCTCTCTCTCTCTCTCTCTCTCTCTCTCTCT